CATTATTATTACTGTTGTTAACCCCGATCAGGACAAAGGGCTGTCAAACAGGGTGATTCTGCCTCACTGGCGCCTCCTACAGTTGAGGATGAGGAAATTAACTACAACATAAATGTGATGATGTAACCAGAGGTGTCAAAAGTATTCACATTCATTACTCAAGTACAAGTGTAGATACTCGGGTTTAAAAAGACTTCTGTAGAAGTTGAACTATCAACTCAAGCGTTCTACTTAAGTAAAAGTATAAAAGTACTGGTTTCAAAACTACTTAAAGTATAAAAGTAAAAGTAATGTAAGGGGGAAATAATTCCTTTAAGCACAAACTCTTTATGTGTCACTTCGCTCACAGAACATGTCAGTCTGTTACAATATGACCGGAAGGCGCCTTCAGATCACGTGAGCTGCTGTAGTACTATTAGTATTATTATTATTACGGCTGCATCTTCTGTTGTTTGACTGTGTTATTTGTTTTGTTCCCAAAAGGCCGAATATTATTTGGAGAAAGCCGTCGGTAAACATTTATTTCTGATTTAAAGTAAAAGCGTGTTCTCTCATCTACCTGCATGTCTCGTATCGTTGCTGAGGTACAACACCTCCTGGTGTCCACAGGGGGGCGCTCTCGTGCTTCTCTTCTTAAGACAGAGGCCCAGAGTCCAAACTACACCCGATGTCTCCTTCTTCCCTCCTTCACCCACAGCTGATTTAAGGTGGAGGACCAGAGGCTGAAGCCAGGAGGCGTAGTGGGTCCGTCAGTGCCGACCCCGGGGAACCAGACCCTGGCACCGGCCCCGAGGCCTGGAGCTTATGACCCCCCCCGTAGCCTAAACTCTCCTCACCAACCCGCACTGTGTGTTGTGGCCCAGGTCACCTGACCGGGCTCCATATCACAGGTAAACCTAGATCCTACCAGGGCACCAGGGGGACACGCTGCACTCCTGGCCGGCCCAAGAGGCCCCGACTGGGTCGCCTGCTGGGACAGTGTCTCGTTTTATAATGTTATTATAATTATGAGTATTTCACATGTGATCCACGGCACTATGGGGTCGTTACGTCGAGGCGGATTCTGATATAGAGGCGTTCAGTCGTCATCCAATACACACACCTTTGACGTCCTCACTCTTCTTCTTCTGTTTCACTCTGGGACTGAACACGATGGGCCCTTGATGCTCCGCTTGTATGGCGGCGGCACCGATGCATCATGGGAAAGGACTCTTGACCTTGAGACTCGGCGTCTTAGTGCAGTTTGTTTGTTGCTCCATCAGATCAGATCATCGAATGAAGAAAGGTGAAACTTTGAGTTCTGAGAGTTCTGGAAACAGTTTGAACCCAAAAGGGTTAAATTGTCTCTGGTGTTAAATCCAGATGCTTGATGTCAGTGTGAACTTCACACCTGCTCATGTTCGCCTTAAGTGCATAAAACAAGCAACAAGTGACGTATGAGAGATGAGAGGGACGAGGAGTGACTCTTTATCAACAAGAGGAAGTAGATTCATCCTTTGTCTTTAAGACGGAAGAAGCAGAGAGACGAGAGACGG